TGTGTGTGTGTGTGTGTGTGTGTGTGTGTGTTTTTCTTTTTTTCTTTTTTTCTTGTCAAGCTTATAAAAGGACATAGTGACGCAATCCAGCTAATGTGTACAGGAAAGATGTTCACAGATCATAATATTTTCTAAACCAGCTGTTTAGTGATAGAAGATGTATTCTTGAACTGAACAATATCAGTTAGTTATAAGTCAGTGCAGAGGAAAGAGCTGTGAGTAAAACACACCTTTGAAATCTTGAGCACACTTTTCCATTGGTCAGAACACGATCACTCGAGAGAGGAACTGAATACATCCTTTGATTATTTGCCTTGTTGAATCCGGCTCTTGTGAACTAATGAAATCCTCTCTGGCCAAAACCACTTATCATTTACAGTTTGGCTGTTATACATTGTATAAATCTACAGCTCATTATGAATAAACTGCAGAGAAATGATATGTCTATGTGCTCAAAACATTGGAATAGTCAACAGCAACTCTGACTTTGGGTTTGAAGAGAAGATCAAATTTCTAAAAGCTAAATCTCCTGAATGAGGCCGATTAATTGGCTAGAGTCAAACTCTGAGATATTCAGACTTAAATCGGACTTATCACAGTTTTATAGACTGATTGTAAGTGATTTACATCACTGTTTCTATTTGGGAGAATTGATTTCGGATATGGTTCATATACACTTAAATGTAAAACCATATCAACTGAATCATTCATCATCTTATTGCTGGCAGACTCTGTTTTGTTAATATATTTGTTGTCACGAACCCTCAGAACAAAGCATGAAATTTATGTGACAAGAGGAACACTGAGTTTTTATTTTTTTTTACCTTGGCAGTGTCTGTATGGAAAGATGAATTTTTGTCCAAATACTGTCATTACTTAGTTAATACCAGGTTGTACATCTGGGTCATATTCTTTCCCACCAGTCTTCCTGCTGCGCTCACTTTTAACCCACTACATTAACTGTTACATACCAATGGCTACAAACACTGAATTCAGGTAGATAAACTATAAACACTCTCATAGTAATTTAGGAGCTTTTTACATGCCTTTACTTTGGACGGAGAATTTTAAATTGAATTGCAGCGCATAATGAAAAGTGTTGCTCCCTCAAAGGCTGTCGTCCTCTGGAGGGCTTGAAAATTCATAATGATGACAATAAAAATGCTAATCTGTCTGTAGTCATGTGGATCGTGTATGGAGAATGCAGGTCTCCACTTGTCCGATCCAGTCACATGTCTCAGTATGTGACCTTGGACAATATGGTAATAGTTTTACCAGTTTGTTCTCTGACTAAATGGACTGTGACCAGAACTGGAGGCCGTATATCTGTTGGCAGATTTGTCAGGGTCAGCGTCTGGAGCACTAGCATCTTTGACAGCATGTGTTTTGTTATGTGGGAGGCCATTGGCTGGGCCTATCTCCTCACCTGACTTCAAACAGGACCAATCACGTCACTACAGAACATCAGGGTCATAAAACTGATGAAATGATGTGTATTCCTTCTTAGTAGGTTGCTGTACTTACAGCTGTTATTATGGCGAGGAAACAATTCAGGTTTTTTTTTTTTCCCCCAACACAGCTGAAGCCTGAATTACTACAGTGCTGCTGCCTCACTTAGCTACACTGGTGCCTGTTTGTGGGTTGTAAAGATACAGATGTGTGGCCATCTATCACCATCATTAACCTAGACCTGGTGAAGGCTGGAATTAAAGATCCAGCAGAAAAGCTACCCTCTGTTACCTACAGGCCCCGTGCCAATCTGTACGTCTACAGCCCAGAGTCTGAGGGGAGACAGCTGGAGCAGCTGAAACTGTACTCCTGCAGAAGGCCAGTGAAACGCTGGATACCAGACATCTGTATTCTCACATGCCTTGTAAAACTCAGTAGCTCTGCATAGATAAATGGACAGACTGACCCCATTTGCATTGTCTGTCACAGAAAACATTAATAAAACTACTTATTTAAAAATTTAAATGTGTATTATAAATGTTAAAAAAAAAAGACCACCAGTGTTGCTTGGCTTATTTTAAGAAATGCAAGAAAGAAGAAAGAAATTCTGCTCTGTAAATCTGGGCGTGACTGCCAAAACCCTCATGCGGCTCCTTAGATTCTCCAGCACTTGAAGTGATGCTGAAACGGTGTAATACAGATGGCAGCAATATCTTAAATGTTGGGGTAAAAGCGAGATTTATCAAGCGCTCAGACCAAAAAAAAAAAAAAAAGGCACTATTTACTAGCTGCTCATGAGAAGATAGAATTCGATCCAGGGAGGCTGGATTGAGTTATACATCTGTGAGCTGGACGACTTATCAGACACCAAAGCCCTATACAGGTTTATATGCTGTGCAGTGTTTTATCAGGAATGTGCTCTTGCATGTATTTGATTGGTCGAAACAATGAATGTAAATATTGTGTAGCATAGAACATTTCTCTTCTATCTTTTTTAAAATCCCACAATGTGTGTGTGTGTGTGTGTGAGCATGTACAGTGTAATCGTGGCCTCATAGTGGAATTCATGATGATTCTTCAGTCAACCAGATTTTACGGTGCAAGTAAACCACAACACGGAGGCAATTTTTCTTTTCAAGAAAAGATGTTTCCACTAACGCGTGAAGGATTTGCTGTATTCTGCCGGTTCAGTCCTCACCGTGTGCCAAACCACTCGCGGAGGTGGTCAGATGTATTTTAATATGTTAAGTCTCTTTATAAATATAAACACAAATCTGTCAGCTGGTTGACTTGATCAATCTAAATCTTATATAGCATAGTTAACTCATTTAAAAACGATAATGTGCTCGGTGTATTTAATTTGTGCTCTGGTATTATCACACATCTAGCTGAAAGTTATATAACTGTGCGAACTCATATCATTGTGTAATACCTCATAATGGCAGAACAAGAATTGAAAAGTAGCCCAAAAAAGAAACAGTAATATGTTTATGTTGGCAAAAAAAGTTAGTTTTCCATAGCTGCTCTTGAGGTTTTAAACAAGACGAAACACACAGTCATCAACTACTACAGTGAAGCTTCATCTTAGAATAAAAAAGGAAGAAAAAAAAAAAATCCTTATTTGATTTGTTGGCCGGTGCTATAATGAGAGTTGGTGCCAGAACTGACAAGTGTCCAGCAGCAACAAGCCAACAACATCAGCTCTCCTCTCCTATCAGCCCATTACTGTTGTCAGAATTTATCACCAGCACCAGAAGCATTTACTGTATTTAGTGCGGCGGAGAGGAGGCGTTGATAGAAGCAGACTCACACACTGGAGAATGATTGCCTGGCTAATGGTCTTGCAGAGTCATGACAGCATTGCATTCACTCCTACATATTCACAAGGGGTTAATGCAGGAATTGGATTTGTAAAATATGAATCCTTTAAGCCTTTAGCTCTTAGTCTGAGCTTCTTTGTTACGTTACTGATCATTCTGTCTTGTGCTTTTGGAGTCATCTTAGGTGGGCGCCCACCTCCCCACGAGGGGAGAGTATCCACAGAACTAAATCATCTCCATTTATAGACAGTTCGTCTGACTGTTGAATATCTAAACTCTACCAGATGACTCAGTAGCTCTTTCATATTAAAACTTTTCATTACTTTTTTGAGGACGTAGCATTTGAGCTCTTGTGTTACCATCAGGAAGCTTCCCTCAGATAGTTGACAAAAGTAGAAATACTTGGCTGGAAGTACCAGAGGCTTTCTCATTTGTTTATTGCACATCGTATAATCTTCCTCAAGAGTGTGAGACGTTGCAGGTGTTGCATGATTAGTCAGTAACAAAAACAAAAGTGAACCCCTCTGTTTTCTCTTCCTTCCCAGCTGACTACAGCACCAGTGAGATGCTAGTGAACATGGGCAACCTGCCCCTGGATGAGTTTTACCCGGCTGTGGCAATCGTCACCCTGATGCGCATCCTAAGGGACCCTTCACTCTCTAACCACCATACTATGGTGGTCCAGGCTGTCACCTTCATCTTTAAGTCTCTTGGCCTCAAGTGTGTCCAGTTCCTTCCCCAGGTCATGCCCACTTTCCTCAATGTCATCCGGGTGTGTGATGCCAGCATCCGAGAGGTAGGCAGCACTGCAGAACGAGAGGGAAGAGGCTGTTTCCTGGTTAATGTTCAGATATTCACAAAGCGGGTCTCTCACTCACTTCGCTGTCTGTGCTCTTGTTGTCGTCCAGTTCCTCTTCCAGCAGATGGGAATGGTGGTGTGCTTTGTGAAGATCCACATCCGCCCCTACATGGACGACATCTTCACCCTCATCAGAGTGAGTAGCTGTGTCAATACCCCCACCTTCCCCATCCCACTCCATTCTCTAAGCACTGATCATCCTGCCCCTCTTATTTTCTTGTGAGTCAGGCAAACAGCTGCAAACTCTTAATTGCACTCAGTTGTGCTCTACTTTCCTCATTAGGAGTAATGTGTTCAATGCCCCTTGATGAAAGTCTCCCTTCATGTCACACAAAAAAACACATCATGTGTGGTGTGATACTTAACCGTCAAGATTAAAAGAAGCTGTGTGAGTCTGAGAATGAGAAATCATGTTAGTTATATTTGGACAATATACTTTTGTTCCCTTTGTTTAGAGTTGCTCATTGTTTAGAGTTACTCTGCTAGGACCTGCTCTGTTGTACATTTCCACTCATTTATTTCTAATAAAAAAAACTCTGACGTTCACTCCTATCACATGATGTGCAAGAACTCCTAAAGTCATAGCCCCTGCGCTTTCACAAACACATGTTTCTAGCACACAATGTGACTGTCCTTGTGTCAGAGGACACTTTTGCGATGGCGGTAAACGGTGACTCCTCCTGGAGAAAAGGAATCGAGAGAACTGGACCAATGTGCCTCGGGTCCCTCTGAGTTCATAAACGGCTAGTGAAACAAAGAATCTATTCAGTTTTGCTCCAGCTCAGTTCCCGCATCCAGATGAGGGGGCTGGAATAGCCATTCAGGATGTACACTCACTTGCACTCTAGTCAGCTGCCACAGGGAGGGAAAGCAGGAAGTTGGGGGCTGCTCGAGACCTCTGGTCACCGACAAAACACCTCCGCCAGATCTCACAGCTGAGGCCCATTGACTGATTGACGTATTGCGTGACTTCAAGTCCTCCAACTTAACTCCCAATTGTTATAATCGCCAATGTACACAGTGGCCATGTCTAAATTTTCCAAAACGGTGTCACAAGCCACACAGAGACGTGATGTCAGTCCCAGTTGACAGGAAATTGTCTCCATTCCTTGCTATCTACAATTATATTGCTCTCTCTCTCTCTCTCGCTCTCTCTCTCTGCCTCTGGCATGTGAACGTTTTGTATTTCCAGAGGGAAATCTGTCTGAACGTCTCTCTCACACTCACCTCATTGATGGAAACACATTTGATGACCCAATTCCTCAGTCCGGCAAAAAAAAAAAAAAAAAACCCTCAGCACTATATCAGAGCAAGGTGGATGAGGTAGTGCTTTGAGCTAAGCTGCTTTGGACGTACCCTCTGAATATTGTAAAACTTTATATACAGAAATTGGACTTGCATTAATTTAGGTCACTCATATTTAGGTCAGTGGAGTCTTTTTGTTAGCTCAGCAAATATTCATTTGTGGGCTCTATGTTTTAAGAAAATATACCTGCAGATATTATTTAACTGTTGTTGTTCAGTTCAGGTGGTGGACTAACTTTAATCTTCATATAATATTAGAGCTGGGAAACTGAAACCTAGCATCAGGTCACTGGGAGAGTGGATATGTGTACATTCGACTTGCAGTATTGCAGTCCTCTTGCGTGCTGTACAAAGCCATGCACAGAGTTCATAGTTTCTCAGTATTGGAAGAAATACTCCATGTGATGTTGTTCTAACTAATAACAACATGTTCTGCTCTGTGCTGCAGGAGTACTGGACGCCAAACAACCCCATGCAGAACACCATCATCCTTCTGATTGAGCAGATTGTGGTGGCACTGGGCGGAGAGTTCAAGCTCTATCTGCCTCAGCTCATCCCGCACATGCTGCGTGTCTTCATGCACGACAACAGCACCGGGCGCAGTGTCACCATCAAGGTGAGTGAAAGGTGGTGCTGTTTACAGATGACAAAAATCTGCAGTCCTGCCGTGTAATTATAGGCTTACACCAGGCTGAAGTAGAGAAAGCTTTATTGTCTATGAGTTTAGAACAAGAAGAAAAGCTGCTATTAGTCCCACATTGACTCACAGGGGTTTTCCTGGACAAAATAATACCAGATAACAACTAATTCTAAGCTTTTATTATTTGGCAGTACTCCAGAAGGTGTAGCAGTAAAACATGCTTTTTGTCTTTATAAAAGATTGAGAAATAAATGTTTTGTGATTTCTTTTGTTTGTTTTTCTAAAGTCAAAATGTTCAATTATACAGAATATGAAAACGTACTGAATAAATCAGAGAAGAAAAGTGAAAAACAAACATACAAACTGAACTGAAAAATATAAACAATAGAGGAACAACACATTGAGAGGTTGCAGAGATGAATCCGGAAAGGCTGGAATTGAAATTGTGGTCACAGAGCTGGAACAGCTTAAACAAAGTGTTCTCAGAGCCCTCAGCAGAGACATAACAAATAAAAAAATATTGCTTGGAAACAGGTTCATGCTGCCACGAATGCTTACTCAGCAGAGTGCAGAGCAGCAGCAGAAATAAAAATGAAACTGACTCATTTGAACGTACAGTACTTGCAATAAAGAGAGACCAAAATGCCTGCTGTGGTCCACTGCACAGGCAGTATCATCATCATCATCATCAGAGAAACCCCAGTGTGTGTGCTTTTAATAATGTGCTCATAACGAGGTTATTTTCTTAGTGTAGTCTTCTCTATGATTTAACTCTCTTTTTTTTTATACAATCCTGCCTGAATACGTGATATGATATGTTTGATCTCAGTCCTTTTCTCATGCTCATTTATTTACCGTTTGCAAATCTGATGGATTATACCAGTTCTTCCTCTATTTTGTGTATCATGTTTTTAATATACAGTAGTCTTTGTTGAACCCAAAGCCCTGTGTGTAGTACAACATTGATAAATCCCACATTTTGCCTAGAAAAGAGTGGAGCTTTTCCAAATGTGTCCCATGTGCACATCAGTACATCAGATTGCAGCAGGCTTTTGGGTCGAGAGGATGAGGTTTGGGAACTGTGGATGTAGAACAGCTGAATAAGCCGATAGGTCACAGTCAGAAATTAAAAAGCTGAATGGAAGGATCTTTAATATGTTGTAGCAAGTAATTGCTGATTAATAATCTAATTATATCAACAGAGAAGCAAGTTTGAACAGTGACTGGAGATTTGAATGTAGCCTGTGTAGGTTTCGACCACTAGTAGCACTGTAGAGCCACGCTTTTATGAGTGTGTCCCTGCATGAGGCGCAGGCAGGTGGGCTGCACGCTACACATTCCTGCAGACGGTGTAATGTTATTTCACTAATCAGCAGTTTGTGGCGGTAACGCTCCAAGCCAAAAGGAAAGAAAAAAGGTGACTGCTTACCTAGGATGTATAACATGGATATAAACAGTGCAGTTTCTAATGCTTTCAGCACACGTACCTTTAAATACCAACATAGCAAATGATTTTTTGAACCTTTTTGAGGGAAGCCTAACGGCGCAGTTGGACTGAAATTCGTTTCCCATTCATTGCGGAACAGAGGCGAGACATTCACTTCCAGCTGCGTATTGACCTGCCTCCCGCGCGTTTGTGCAGAGTTCAGCCTAATTGAACTTTGACACACACAATTGCGCGATTCTCCAGTGTCCAGCTGGTCTGAGAGATAGTGTTGCATTGACCTCTCATTCAGGAAATATCGCTTGTGCAGCGATAATAAAAGGAGCAGAGAAGGAAGGGAGGCTGTTTGGCTGCAGTGGGCGCAGGGCGCAGACACAGGTTAATAACAGTAAACTGTTTGATAAAATGCTGTAAAGGTAGAAAACTTGTGGACCGCTGTTGTGAGCATGTTAGCTATGGTTGCTATAGTACTTTATGTGTACATCCCATCTTGCATTATTTCCTGTTCCCCCTGCTTTTTAGCCACACAGCATAAAATAAATATTACCAGGCGGAGAAAAGAGAAAGATGTACAGGAAAGAGGAAAAAGCACTTACACATCCATATGTGCTTGTAGTTGCTTCCTACAGTCTATTCTAAAATATGGACAACTGAAGGTGAAATATCTTTACACACAAATATATGGTAGGTGTAATAGAGACAGTTCAGTGCCCGTTATTAATTATGGCAGTCGAACAGTAATACCCGTGTCACAGTATAAAATGACCCAAAACAATGTGTTACATAACTGATTTTCTTTTTTTTTAGGTCAGAGTTTACCACTCAGCTCACTTTGACATTTGACAACTTCACTGATTAATGGAGAAAAAGTGACACATTGTGTGTCATAAATCCGGTGGAGAAAGTGCAGTAATGAGATTGAAAAGATCATATGTCAGATCCGAGTTGGTATTTGAGTACATAACTTCATTTTTCTAGCGCTGCCAAGAGGAGTGAGTGTTTAAAAACTACTCCCATCACTCCACACTCTTTGAGGAAGCACAGGAGCGCAGCCCACATTTGACTTACTGTGGCACTGTTTTCTGTTTGTGGTTTCCGACAATATCCATCAAGACCGTTCAGGTCTAAGCCGTTCACTTGTAATGCAGCAGTTCAAAGACGCTATAGACCTGTAGCTAACACACTCTCCTGTTTCAGCAGCTGCTGCCAGTAGTTGTCAGGGTTTTCCCTCAAACCCTAAATCATGGTCTGGGTGAAGACCACAAAGGCAGAATCATGGGGAGCACTGTCATCTAGTGCTCTCGGCTCTGGTGCAGTTCTGTCTCAGAGTCTGCAGTATTAGATAACCCAGCAGCCCACAGTCTGGAGAGTCTATAACTGGGTCTGGAGCGTAATCTTAAGCACAGGATGGGGGTCATGAAATGGGGGGGACCTGGGAATCAGGTTACCTTCCAGTCCAGAGTAGAAGAAAAGAAAAACATACTTCCATCATTTCATTGGGGTTTTTTTTTCTGTCCAGCCACCGATACCCCACAGCACAAGCACACACACACACACACACACACTTGCACACCTCCACCTCGGCTTCCTGCTGTCTCGCCGTGTGCAATTTAGACGTGGGGTTGGAGGTGCGGGGTGTGTGTTGCGGGGCCCGAGGGTTGGTTTGTTGGCTGCAACATACGTCATCCTTTAAGACCACCATCTATCCACGTACGCTGCTCACACATGCTCCACACAAGATGGCTTGAACATTAGACCAAACTACAGAAACCCTCTGGAAAAAAAAAAAAATAACCACACAGTTACATTTTTATTTAAGATGTGTCGTGGACAGCTGGCTGACGGGATGGAAACAGCACTCAAAACTTTACCTTCAGACTGTTGCGTCATGACGGCTTCAAAATGTCTGCACCAGAATCAGATTTGGTGTCACCCCATTAGAAATTACATGAAAAGTTTCCACAGCGCTCAGAAAAAAATTGGTGTGTTATCCTTATTATATTGTCTAATCATGATGGACGAGGATCGCACTCAATTACGGGAAGTCACCTTATGTTCAGACGACAAGTAGGCAACCAGTTTTTTTGGCGGCACCTCCTTCATCAGTGTCATTACCACGTTTTGAAATTGAAACGAGAAGATATACGAACAGCTGATGGATGTGTCTGTGCTCACTCACAATGAAACCATTGAGTTAGAATCCCATTAAGGTTTGCAGAGGAAACATCATTGTAATATAAGCTCCCATTTGTTTTCCATCTCAGTTGTGCTGCTAATTTTAATCATCTTGATGACACGAATAAATGATGCAGAAATTTAACTGGCAAGGACTACCACCAGGTTCTTAGAAGAAAGTGATCACGCAGTTAGTTAGTTAGGTGACGTACACGGTATGCTTTACTCAGTCAGTGCATGTGATGGCCACATTTCTCAGGAACATTACAGGAACATTATTTGTAAAGGTGTACTCTAACTGTACATTATTGAATTTTGTACAAATAGACGAGTGCACATTTACAACCCTGATTTCCTTTTTTTTTTTACAAAGGTATTTTGCCCCTGGAGGACTACAGGGAGGTCCTGGAAGTCAGGTTTTGCATTTAGAAAAGAAAGAGAGAAGAAATAAATAATAACAAGGAAGGGGGTTTAGGAATAGATAAACTTCTACAGACTCTAAAACTGACAAAAATCACATGTCACATGTATGCGTATTATATGACGGCAGGTCCACCAGCGCGCCCTGCATCGCGTGTTTCAGTGTGGAGTATTGTATTTGAAATATGCCGTATTAGTGGCTCTAGTGCACTTTGTATTGTATTTTTGTGGTCCGTGTGCTTTGAAGCGACATACAAGTAGGTTATCTGGTTATTCGCTCAACTCATAGTATTGCAGGGTTTTCCTGGGAAGGCTAGCGTGTATGCCAGCACCTCGCTGAAACGCAACACCATCCGGCTTTTCTTTTAGAGTTCCTCAAGAAAAACCATTTAACCATAACAAGCTCATTAAAGTGAAACCCGCTCATGTTGAGTGTTGCGGTATTTGGGACTGAGCAGTCTGTGCTTTTATTTTGCAGCTGCTGAACGCCATCCAGCTGTTTGGTGCCAACCTAGACGACTACCTCCACTTGCTGCTGCCTCCCATTGTCAAGCTGTTTGATGCCCCCGATGTGCCCCTGCAGGCCCGCAAGTCAGTACCGCACACAACTGCCCCTTGTGCTCACGCAGCTGTAGTTTGAGATCTAAATACTTAATATTTAAATTCATTCTCACTGGAATCCTCAATGGATTTTTATTGATTTAACTTAGATGTGTTATCTCTTGATTTTTTTTATTTTAACTTGTGACACACTTTCACCACAGAACTGGAAAAATGAAACTAGAAGCTTCTTTCTAGGGCTTCCATTTTTATTTGCACTTTCTTTGACATAGAAGAATCTAGCTGGTAAATACCTCAACCTTTCACATGTTAAAAAGTCCTTTAGAGCAGGCCATGTCTCTGTTTGTCTCTGTCTTCCTAATATTTAAGTGAAACTGAGCTTCCTCTGTTCATCTGTTTTTCCTCTGTATGGTTCAGGGTTGCCTTGGAGACACTTGACCGGCTGACAGAGTCCCTGGACTTCACAGACTACGCCTCACGCATTATCCACCCGATTGTTCGGACACTTGACAGCACGCCTGAACTGCGCTCCACCTCTATGGACACCCTGTCCTCGCTTGTGTTCCAGTTGGGCAAGAAAGTAACTACAGCCGTCCTTGGGGCTCATTTTAGATGTAGCTATTATTCAGTAGACTCCTTCCCCCCTCCCTACTGCTGGCTTCACAAGAACAGCATTTCGGTAACCCCCCTACCCCTCCACTCCCACCCCGAGTTTTTATTACTTCCTGCCAGACTGTTGATGTCATTGGCCGTTTGACGGCGGGGGGTGGTGTTTATGAGAGTGGATGAGGTCACATTTACCCCCTCTCCCCCCTTCCTCCTCAGCCTTCCCCTCCCTTATCCCTAAACCATCCTATGGTTTTCAGGCCTAACCTCACCAGCCGCCAGTCCACGTGCAGCCACATCTGGCAGCGAATGTACAGGGGAAGCTTTTGATCTGAGGCTCATAGTGGTTAGATACTCAGTTATTTGGCTCATGATGAGGGGAAAGAGGTAGCAAGACTAAACCACATAAAGCCCACAAACACCCTTTTATTTACTCTGCTTTCCTTCCCTCTCATTTTCAGTACCAGATCTTCATCCCCATGGTGAACAAAGTGATGCTGAAACACAGGATCAACCACCAGCGTTATGACATACTCATCTGTCGCATTGTTAAGGTCAGTCCCCCTCAATATATCCAGCTTTTCTCACGTACATAATAAACCAGTTGAAACTTTGCACATTTCCAACATGTCTCCTGGATTCATGAGCATCTGTTCGTTATTCTCTGCCTTTTGCTGAGTCAGGTGCAAACACATTAATCCTCCATGACACAGAGCAACTTCACATGGTCCAGCAATAAATTACATAATAATAATAATAAATAAACAACACTTTTTCTATGTGCAGTTCACCATAAGCAAGTCATTACCATGGCGTGTTTATCAACAGTTATCCCCCAGGAAGGAAATACACTTCCACGTTCACAAAGCATGTTTTGATGCATGACTCAACAGTCAGTCTGTGTGTGGGCTGTGTGTGTGTGGCCTGTGTATGTGTATGTGTATGTGTTTGTGGTCATAATAGGGCTATACTCTGGCTGAGGAGGAAGAGGACCCTCTAATCTTTCAGCATCGCCAGCTTCGCGGTAACCAAGGCGATGCTCTGGTCAGCGGGCCAGTGGAGGCGGGGCCTATGAAGAAGCTTCACGTCAGCACTACGGCACTTCAGAAGGTTAGAAGGGGAAACTTTTACTGATTCATACTTTCATAAGGAGAAGATGTCCAGCATTTTGTTTCACTGGCACAGATGTTGAGTGCAGATATTGTGCACTGTAAACAGTACAAGCCCATAGTTTACTTGTGGTGATGACATGCAGACCAACAAACTAAACTGTTGACAAAGGAATAAAAACCAGAACAAATAAGCAGAGGAACACAGTGACTGCAGATTTAATCATACGGGGAACACGGGTGTCACCGTACGGTTTGATGAATATGAAAATGAAAATGATGTGAACCATGTGCCTGTGGCCTTCACCGTCACCAGATCTCAGCCCAGTAAATACCATAGGGAGACTGATGTGCAGACTGACACAGAACACTCCACCAACATCATCAAAAAATACCTAATATGGCGGTCTTTTGGAAGAATGCGGTTCCATTCTTCTGAGAAATTTGATGAACAGTAACAAAAATTTTGTATGTGAGAATCTCAGCCAGATCATCCCACACCTGTGACACTCAGGTCTGGAGAAATTTTGTTGCTCCCACGTAGTTCCCAGTGACTTCAGAAGTGAATGACTCCTGTCTCTTTCGCAGGCTTGGGGTGCGGCCAGGAAGGTGTCCAAAGATGACTGGCTGGAGTGGCTGAGGCGCTTGAGTGTCGTCTTGCTCAAGGAGTCTTCCTCTCCGGCCCTGCGATCGTGCTGGTCACTGGCTCAGACTTACATTCCCCTTGCCAGGTACAATATTTCTGTCACAGTAGCTCATTTCTTCCTCCCTCCTTTTATTTTCTTCTTGTCTCATGTCTTTAATGCTTCACATTCAAGATGGACCACAGCAGAAAAAAAATTCATTTTAAAAGGATAAAATTGCCATTTTTGCCCATTAATCTACACTGAATAATCCTTAAAGAAAGCTGCAAATTTATTAAAAATCAAAAACTGAAATCTCTCATCAAGTAAATAGGAAATAAATAGCAGTGAACTCTCTGTAGACCTCCACAATAAATTGTGGCAAAGCATGGATCAGAGCGAGGGTAAAAAACCATTTCTAAAGCTTCGAGTGTTCCCAGGAGCACAGTGGTCTCAATAATTGTGAAATAGAAGAAGTTTTAAGTACCACTCGGACTCTTCCTGGAGTTAGCTGTCCGGCCAAACGGAGCAACTGGGTAAGACTGGGAGGCGACCAAGAACCTAACGGTGACTCTAACAGAGCTTCAGAGCTCTGCGGAGATGGGAGAACCTGCTGGAAGGACGACCAGCTCGGCAGTGCTGCCTCATTCAGGCCTTTATGGTGGGGCGTCTAGACGGAGGCCACTTTGAATAAAAAGCACATGAGACAGCACACTCTGAGTTTGCCAAACAGTATTGAAAGGACTTTAGGAGCATGAGGGAAAAGATTCAATGGTCTGATGAGATGAAAATTGAACTGCTCTTCACCTGGCTAATACCATCGCTATGGTGAACCATGGTTGTGGCAGCATCATACTGGGGGGCGCTTCTCAGCTGCAGGGACAGGGAGACTGGTCAGAGTGCACAAGACCCGAGACTGGGGTCACAGTTCCCCTTTGAGCACAACAGTGACCTGAAGCATACAGCCAAGACAACTCTGGAGGGGCTTCAGGACCCCATACAACATCTGGAGATAGACCTGAAGATGGCAGTTCACAGATGTTCCCCATCCAATCTCATGGAGCTCGAGAGGAGCTGCCAGTAGGAATGAGATAAATTGCCCAAATGCAGCCGTACAAAACTTGCTGAACTGAAGTTGAAACTTCTTCAAAGTGCCCAACTGTGATTGATGGAGCCGTGAATTGAATGAATTGATGTGAATACTTTTGTAAATTTGAGATTTCACTTTTTAATTTTTAATAGATTTGCAAAAATATGTGAAAAGATGTTTTCACTTTGTCCTCATGGGTTATTGAGTGTAGAGTTGTGAGTCTATAACACAGTAGTGTGCAAAAAAGTGAAGGGGTCTGCGTGCTTTCTGCGAGGCCACTGTAACCCCCGTATTAATGCGGAGACCTAACAGAGTTTGAAGCTCTGTGCTTGTGCTTCGCACCTCTAGTGGTCAGAAAGCTGAGGGCTTTGGACAGCCACCGTTGAGCGCAGCAGTGAAAACATATAGCTCCATTCATTGCGGAGCAGCTCAGGTACCAGCAATACAAGACTGGTTGCGCTGGCTACTACTTTCCAGATGTGACTGTGTGTAACCGTAAATGTGAAGCAGATTGTGACTGAAAAATACAATAAATGCTCTGTGATCAAAGCTGTAAAACAACAATGTACTCGGTTATACAGTCATCCTTCTTTACAAGCTACACAATAATCTTGCTACTGATTGATTTGCTGGTCTCCCAAATTCATTTAAAGCCTGTTTTTAAAAGAAATCCCAATTTTAATGTTGTGTCGCACATTGTGTGTCCTTTTTTGTTTTAATGCATAAATGCTGTTTCCGTGGCCCACAGGGACCTGTTCAACGCGGCCTTCCTGTCCTGTTGGTCTGAGCTGAGTGAGGACCAGCAGGATGAGCTCATCCGCAGCATTGAATTAGCTCTCACCTCCCAGGACATCGCTGAGGTCACACAGACTCTACTCAACCTGGCAGAGTTCATGGAACACAGTGACAAGGTTAGCATTGAGCTGTAGCAGCTACATTAAACCACAGAGTCACTGTGGTGCAGTTACAGTTTCACACACGTCATGGTTTATTAGTGTGCTTGAGGTTTGTATCTCAACTGCATTTTCTAAATACAAAGCTTTTGATATTGATATTCCATTTTAAAGGGCTGATAAGTAAAGTAGGCTTTACCTGCCTGATAGAATATAATCTCTAAATCTACAGAGGTTAGGCGTTACTTTTACTACCAATGCCTCAGCTGTAACTTCTCCATTCTTTTCTTTTTAGCTTTTTATACAAACTGTCCAGCCCCTTTCAGGAACAAAAAGTACCTGCCCGTTGAATGTGCATGACATTATATGGACTCTTTGATGTTGAAATACCATTTGAAAATAGGCTGTACTAAAATGTGTCTCCAGCTGGCAAAGCAGCAGCCTTCAAACCTCATGTGTTTTAATGTCGTCTTGACCCAGTTAATTTTATGTCTTCTATTGTCATCATCGCACCTTCTGACTAAGTTGTGCATGAAAGTATTCAATGTTTTGAATTTATGCACCTGTTTGAAAAGTAGAAGTTTATGACTGCAGGTAACAGAACGTGCACAGTTTATCAGTTAGTAAATTACTTCCACTCTCTCCTCATTTCATATTTTAGTAGCCCCATCAACGTCACAATTCAGCGCAGTTTGGGATACCTGCATTTTGGCACGGTGCAACTGAAACGGCACAGTAAAAGGAATTGTTTAAACTTGATGCTGTATTGCTGATTTGAAGTTTGCCCAAACTGCACTGCAGCAGACGACGGTTAATTAATGGGTCCAAAAATATGAGAGGTGATCGGAAAACATTCCGGCTGCTATCACTTTGATCAAACTGAGAACAGGAGTGTAGGAGATAACAGGTGTTGGAAGGTTAACAGAGAAAGCCTTTCAAGTTGGCACTTTCTCTCTCTAGTCGGCTGTTCGACCATGTGTTGGGCTAATTAGTGACGATACTGTTACGTTGAGGGCAGAGACCGTCATGGTTGGGTCATAGTAATAATGGGTTTCAGCAGGGACCCCCTGCTGTGAGGCTGCAGGAGAAAACGCATAAAGCGTCCCGCTCTGAGCTAGTGGAAAGAAGAGCAGGAGATGCTTTCTGCAGGCTCCAACACATCTTTTTGCAATTAGCTACGAAGGGCGCATAAATACAAATCACTTAAATGCTTCATCAATCTACCTTACTCCTGTCAGTTGCAAAAGAGTTACAGTGTGCGTTAAAATAAAAACAGTCAGTGAGACATGAGCAGAATAAAATCTGTTGATGGCACAAACTGCACTGATTATGGATAGAGGACAGTACAGGTCACGCACAACTATTCATTCAAGCTTCATCTCATTTAGGAGTAAGATTTAGGCGTTTAATACGGTTTGTTTCTTTTTCCAGGGCCCTTTGCCTCTGAGGGATGATAATGGTATTGTGCTGCTTGGTGAGAGAGCTGCCAAGTGTCGTGCCTACGCCAAAGCCCTGCATTACAAAGAGCTGGAGTTTCAGAAAGGTCCTTCTCCTCTCATCCTGGAGTCTCTTATCAGGTAGGAGGTCTGAAAAACCCAGAAGCAAACTTTTGTTTTTCTCGTTTAATGAGAAGCAACCACAGCCTTTATAAACTGTGAGCAGCTGAACTCAAGTCTTTCTTCTTCACAGAATTTGACTGAAAACGGCAAAAATACGAGTTTTATTCTTGACTTGAACTAAACAAATAAGAAATGATGATGCTTCATGCTCCACATAACTTATTCTTTGGTGTAATTTCTCCAAATAAATAAAAACAAATAAAACTCTCATAAACCTTTAGATCATAACATAATTCGGTGTCATTGGGAGGTAATTAATTGCTAATTTCTTTACTCTTCCTAATGATGCTCATCACAAAAACTAGGTTTGTCATGTACCTCTGTGATTAACAGTTATTGCATTAGAAGTTATTGCTAAAACAAACATTAAATTACCCTCTCAGAGTCAAATTTTAAACTAATAAATACACAAAGAAATGATCTTATACAAATCCTCCTGTCCCATAACCCTTTGATATCTTCTGTCATCTTTTCCATCCCCTTTTCTCATCCTTCTTTATTTCTGTGTTTTTGGCATGGCGCAGAGAAATCTGTTTTCCAGGCATTTAATTGGACGCTTGCCTCCTTTTCATCTACGAGTGTCTGGACTTGTGTTTCTCAGGGGCCTGTTTTCAATTTCTTAGGAGCCTTGATGATGATGAATGATGGGAGCCGGCACTCTGGTGTTTTCAATATCCCCATCTGGTTCTCACCTCTCTAGGATTTCCCATAAAAAGATCTAGAGGCCGGTGTGCAGAAAGCACAATGCAAACCTGGCTCGACTGAGTCGTGGCTGTATTAGAAAAAAAAAAAAAAAAAAAAAAAAAAACGTGTTCATATCTAATGCACACTTTTTGATGACGAGGAGGCGTCGTCACTGGTATTTTAGTAACTGATGAGTCATGGTGTTTGTAAGGGAGTGCGATTATTTCAGGAATCGTTCCTTGTATTCTCTCATATGGATCTTCAGTTAAAATTCAGGGTATTAAACCTGAATAAGTGACGTACTCGTAATAGTATAAATTTTTATGAGTTGTAACTGGGACTGAATAATGTGTGATGGATTTTAAGAAAATCAAAAGAATTAGTTCGTGGCCTGAGTATATTCTCAGACCCCACAGCTTCGGATAGAGCCAGGGAACTGGTCACATTTTCCGCATTATTCCCAACAACAGAGGAACACTGTTAATTGAGCATTTGGCATATGGGGTTATTATGGAGTGTCTTTAAATCGACTTGTTCTCGTGGAAATTTTTGTTGAATTCGACAATATGTCATAGATGATAATGAGGGGGGGGGGGTGAAAGGTGCGTGATAGGTGTTATGAAGGTCTGTCTATGAAAGTAAAATGCATCGTAGGTTACAAAGGAACTGTGAATTTGCTGGTTCCATCACCGGTGTAGTGACTGGAGCTGGGCCGTGTGGCATCTGGACCATGTGTTAATGATAAATGTATAGCCATATTGTCACCAGGAACCATGGAAATGCTTGGAAAATGGAATTTTAAATGACATTTAGTATGTTCACACACATAGAGGGCTGCAAACTGTTACGCAACATGTCATCTTATGCTTTCCTCCAGTGTGGCTTTGGTGCATAATTTGGATTTAACCTCTAAACTGCTTCAACGGAATCAATGTATGAGTAGAAGGGGGCGGACACACAAGCAGGAAAACTTGTACGATGTAATGCAATCCAGTAGCGCTGTGATGTACCTACTTTGTGGTTACGATGTTGTACTTCCTGTTATGGCTCAGTAAGTGTGGTTTTCCCCTGAGAAAAATAACAGGTGGAACACCTCATACAATATAGTGTGTAGGTTTATTTATATACACAGGTTCATATAAATAAGAAGCAGAGAAAATAATTCAGTTCAACAACATCACAAAGTTGAATCCACAACTCTCTGACACAGTCCCAAGAAAATTTAAACCATCCATCATAGTGGAATACAGTTTACCACAACACAGTGTCAGGATGCTTAAGAGTCTCGTTTGACATAAGAATTACGTAAACACAGTTACTGTAAAACAAGACCTATTTTATAAATACACACCATAAATATAATGTTATTGCTCAGGCTGAAATAAACCCATTAAAATATTTTTTTATATACCTTTTTGGATTCCCTGGGTTTACTCTAAATACCTCCCTGAAGTTTAACTTCCCTGAAAAATAATGTGAAGTTCCACTTGCAGAGGTTATATTTCCTGAGCGAGGCATGCTGCCTCTGTGGAAACATAAAGGTTTATGTCAATAGTAAGGTATATGTCACTTGTAACAGACCTCCAATAGTTGCATTTACACCCTCCACCAGTGTTCAGGGTCTGCTGCTGCTGCTGCTGTTGTTGGTGGGAGACAAGTTTGAATACTTTGAGTCCTGGTCGTTTGTCACTGTCTGACTGTCTTTTTTTGAGTGCCCTTTATTGCTCTGTGGCCATTTCTTTTACAGGGAAGGGTTAAATGCTGTGCTTTAATTAGATGTTTACCCTGACTAACGTGTCACCTTGTAAAAGGAAGGGAATCTGACTGAGCCCAGCACTGAGCCTGTATGGGCAGTGCTCCCTGTTTGGAGGTATTTGAATGCTCCAAGGAATTCTGTTGGTTCAAAGCAAAATGGTGTTATTGTTGTCAGAGTAGTAAACCTGGAGGCATTTAACTCGATGGCAGAATGGAGTGTGTGTGTGTTTGTGTGTGTGGTCTTCATTCCTGCCTTTGGTTTAGCTGTCCTGGGACCTTTTGGCCAGGCTGTCGGGACACGACCCAAGAGTCAGAGGTCAGCGGCTCGGGGGCAAATTTGTCGCCATTATTGGAAATGAATGGACGCCTAGGAAGACCTTGACTTTTCTTTTAGACTCCCATTGATTTTCTCACAGCTATTCTGAAGTGAGGAGAATGATATGATGAAGAAGAAGGAGACACATGCACTATTCACTATGTTTCTTTTAAAAAATATGTTTATTTTCTATCACATAAAACAACATAATTACAGACCTGTACACATTTTACAAATTACACATTTCCATCATCAATGGTTAGGATTTTACAATAAAATGCAGCGTAATTCATAGAAAATACCTTTTGGTGTTTGGTCCCATTCCAGCAACTCACAAAGATCCTTTAGATTAATTAGTTCCTACCAGTCCTTAATGATTTAATCCCGAACCAGACCAGTCTGGGCTGCTTCTTGCCTCTACCCATAAACAGCTTGTGTTAACTAAAAAATACATCCTAGTGCTTTCAAGACAAATGAGAGAAGGAATCAAAATCTAGTTACCCATATGGGACAGTGGTAAAGAGCATCTATCAAAGCTTTTTAAAAAATAAAAATATATTTACTGATAAATACACAAAACGAACTACAATTTACAATCAAACACGGCAGACACATTACACATTCATCTGACTGAAACTTAACCAGACCATCACAAACAACAATTTTCATTCCTTTCGCAGTCGAGGGAAAGCTACGATTCGGTTGAACAGGTATGAGTGAAATCTCTCAGCATTCGCGTTCATTATCAGGATCCAGGAGACTCGGTGGAAGGATCTTATGGTTGAAAACCAACAGGCCGGACCTTCATCTCCACTTTCTTGAGGGAGTAGTTGGGCCCGTGCCAGCCGTACCAAGTGATCCCATCTGTGTTCTTCGTGTGCTCACCGTAGCGGTAAAAAACGCCGTTCAAGTTTGAGTCAGTGCAGCAGTTGTACCAGTAACCACCTGCAAGGAGGCGAGGGGGGAAAAGAATCAGATTTATTGCTCTTTTGGGGGAAATAATCTTCTGCAAATGACTACATGGATTGTTTTGGTTTGCGTTGTTCTCATTATTTACCTTTGCGCAGGGAAGCGCAGTCGTCCACACATTTGTCATTGTCCTTGTTGATGGTGCTGAAGTTGGTGTTGTTGTGGTAGCGCAGGGAATCGCCAGCGCTCCCGCTGTAGTTGGCAAGGAAGAGCTTGTAGCTGTTGAGCTCATTACCCACAGTGAAAAAGCCGTACTCAGCGTAGCGTGTCTGTCCTTCCCAGTCCTGCATTGGAAAACACATATAACACGATTAAGAGAGGGACTATTGTTGTAGAAGCTGAGAATATTAGCTCTCACAGTCGGCCTGACGTCTCTAAAAGTTTGATTTATGAATAATTTTCTTTCGCTCTGTACCCCGCAGGGATAAATTGAAACCGTTTATGCATGGCTTACGTATTCTTGCTATTTTAAGAGTTTCTGGCCAAGCCTGTGTGAGTTCTGCGTTTTCTAATACGTACCTCCATCTCAATCCTGAGCACAGTGGGCTGCCTTGTTAGGCGGAAGATGTGGTCGTTGCCCAGCCAGAAGTCTCCACGGATGGATCCGAATCCACTTTTGTACTGCTTCCAGTCACGGTTGAATGATGTCAGGCCGACTTTGCGCCTTTGGATTAGAGTCCAGCCTCCTCCGTTCGTATCCATATCGCAGAAGACCTGAAAGCATTCGGCGATATTTAACACGGCACAGAGAGAAGAAGTACACAAAGAGGACACGAGACTGGAGCGGAACTTACGCTCAGCTCAGGTGTTCCCAGGAAGTCATCTTTAGGCAGTTTGTACTCGCCAGAGATCTTGTAGTTCTTGCTGTAGAGCGATGCACAGTCATATATGGCATCTGGAATAAAAAAAGGAACATCTTAAGTTATGCTAAAACCATATGCAGTTTCATGAGCAGCTCTCATAATCTGAATGTCATAAATTCTAACAGCTTCACGGAGGATTGAGTAATTGGACAGATGAAAAAATGATCTTTCCCCCCAACTAACTGCAAAATAGATGAAAACAGAGTGTGATATGCATCGCAGGGCCCAGATTTCTTGCATCGTTCCCCTATTTTACTCCTGTTACAGTATGGTCATGCCATTAATAGGGCCATGAGATCACTATGGAGCAGTGAGCCCAAGACTTAAAAAGTCTATGTAAAAAAAGAAAAAAGAGAGAGATGGAAACCTTCCACTTCTTTGTAATCTTTGCATCCCTTCCTGTTCTGCTCTCCCGTCTCTAATTTACTCAAGTTTTAAAAAGGTCTCTGTGTTCTCTGTGCCAGTGACATGAATGTGGCCCTGTTGGACCACACAGTCGAGGTAGTGTAATAATAAACTACGTCATGCCTGCTTAACCTCTCTGCACCAGCCAGTGCTGATTAGTGGCGCATTTTAAGTTGAGTTGAATGGCGGAGACGATATGGCTTTGATGGAACTGGTTATTGACAGCCCTGCACATGGGCCTCCACGGCTCCAAATGAATGCTTTTGACTGCTGCCGGGCGGCTCACTGTAATCTACCTCACAGCCAACGCACAGGAGCGATGGGCAGGGCTGATTATAGTTTTCGCAGCTGCGATAAATATATAGTGTTCTGTGTGAAAAATATTTGACCTATTTGAGAACTGTTGTGTAAAATTTAGTTGCCGGCATCACAGTGACATGAGGCTTCTCTCAGCTTGTGGTTTATCTCATCAGTTCAAGAATGAGCAGTCTCTGAATGAAAAGAAGCCTTGGTGAGATATTAAACTTCACACAATCTAAAAATATACAGAATTGAGAGAGGCTGAAAAGGTTGCTAAACAAAAGGCACATATGAGGTTCAGTCATATATAAAATCTGCGTCCAGGTGTGGAAATGATTAAACACCTGGAGCGTGAACTTTTAACAGCAGCTGCAGAAAGTAAGAGGCAGGTCAGAAATGCACCAGAGTCACTGATGGATCAGTTTTACCACGTGACCTGTTAAGCTTAAACCATATTCCTGCAGTTTTTTTTTTTTGAGAGATTATAACATCAACAAACCACTTGAGAAAGAACGTCATTACAGTACAAGTGTTAATGCTCACCTGATGAGCTCTGAGGGGCAGAATGTAGGGTTTGCAGCTGCATGATCTCCACACGGTTGTTGATCTCTGAGTACTTGCTCTCTGCCTCCGTGACCCGAGCTTCCTGCTGCCGGTTCTGCTTGTCCAGCTCCATTATTTGCCTCACGACGCTCATCAAGTCTGTCTCCTGCTTGCGACTCACCTCCTCGAGGAGGCTGGTCAGATTGGCCACCTGAACCTTGAGGGAGCGCACCTCGTCGCAGCACTGACCCTTGGCCGGCTTTGCAGGTGCCAGTCTCTTCTTAGGATTCTGGGCCCATGTCTCAGCTAATAGGAGCAGCGTGACCCCCAGAGCCACTACACTCAAGTTTACCTTTGCCATTTTCTTTTTAAAATTACAAATGCTCTAGATTTTCTACACAATCTCAGGCTTCTTTTGCTTTTGGTGTTCAGAAGTTGTCAGTCCCTGACGAAGATCTTTGCTAGAAATATTGAATGAACGCGAGCTTCGACTGACCAATCGAGTGGGAGCTCTCTGTTGACCAGCGGCTCACTCAGGCTCCGTCTTACTTCTTCAGTGAAACCCTCCTCTGCCTGAGCATCTTAAATATTTTGCATGTGGGTCCTCCCCCTCTCTCTGCTGGTGCACACCAGTCACCATGCTGACCCTCTCAAACCTCCTGGGTGGAGGACCTTTCCCAAACCTCCTCCTCCCCCCCCACCCCCCCCCCACACACACACACACACCACCACCACCACCTCTCCCCTCCTCTCCCCTCATTTTACTTTCACTCATTCCACAGAAGTTTCGCCCACGTTTCTCCTCACTCAGTTGGATGTTGAAGGTTTCTGGGCAGTAATGTTTTTTCTCTGTTTTTTTTTTTTTTTTTTGCCTGTGACTGGAAGAGCAACATAAGGAGCTGAGGAAACAAAATAAAGGCTACTGTCTGAACTTGTTGTGCCTCCACTGTTCGCCACTTGTTACTCTGTGGAAATGCAAACTCCCAAATGCTTTTGTATTTAACTCACTCATTCAGCTAAACAGAAACATCGTTAAAACATTTGAATGCTGGTTTTAGGCAGTCGTATGTAATTTTCTTCCCTTTCTTCACAATTACTTTGTTAATAACAGTTTTTACTATATCCTTGGGGCAAACCATTTCTTCAGTGAATTCGGTCTTTACATGCCGAGAGATGTGTGAAGTCACTAAGTACTCTTAATTGTGGGTTAAGTGTTCTATTGATGCTCCCTTTTTTTTTTGGGGCAGATGTTAAAGCAGGCGTGTTTTTTCCCCTGAGCGTTTCAGCTTCAAATATCAGAGGAAGAAAGTTTAGTGAAACCTTTAGGATAGAATTAGACCAAAATACAGTTTGCAGTAAGTGGAAAGAATTTGTTCAGGAGAAGAATCTGAATGTGCTGCCTACGTATGTAAAGGCTTTACACTTTGCCATCACACATGTTTAAGTGGTATAGCATTACTCCGTTGGAGGAGAGAACAACTAATTGAAGTGATATTCTTGTGGCTTTTTTTGAATAGCAGATGGAATTGGCTTTCGTTATAGCACAGAGATTTCCAGGCTGCAAAAATTAGATTTTTTGAAAGTTATTAAGCACCGTAAAAGTGCGGGAAACGCTGTAATCACCCAGATATAGAGTGCTCTCCTTTTCTTTCTTAAATGTGACTTCCAGAGCTGAAAAGATCAGTTAATGCATCAGTTAATCACTTAATGATTTTACCCCAGGTCAGTGTGTCTGTCTGAATTAGGTATAACGGAGCTCCACAGAATGGTTTGTATCACGTTACATGGACTAATTCACTCAATAATTTTTGTATTACGCTACATTTGATTTATAGGGGAAACACTGCTGAAGGGAAACACTCAGAGGCATTTAATATGAACATTCAAGTTTAGGAGTTTGAGCCATGTTTAACACCTACATTTGTGGAAAATACAAAGCAGCCCTTGGCCCAGTGAATGTCTTCCTTTCAAAGTCTGCTGGTGGTTGGAACCACCATTTACAATCTGCTGCTTTGATTTGTGTGGCTTAATAATGATGTTTACAGAGTTCTTTCTTCTAGATTGTTTTCCCCTTTTTAAAACTTTTAACATGTAACCAGTGGAGGGGGAGAATAAAACCTGCGCAATGTCTGGGAAATCTAAGATCTCTATTCAGTGGGATTTTTTTTATTTTTTATCTCATCACAACTTCCCGGAGGAGCTGTCACCCCTGCCAACTTGAAGGAGACACCTTTTGGAGATTAGGCACAAGGTGGGGAGGGAGGGGGGGGTTGATCAGAGTTTGTCATGAGCAATGAGGCAACGGATCATGCATGGATTCCTATGTATGATCATTGCTGAACAAAGTAGTGTTACTGCCACGGTGAAGTGCCAAAGTATTCTGTAAATGCAGGCAGTTGTGCATAACGACTGAGACATGGCTGCACCACGACATTCCTGTCTATTTTTACTTGGAAGTTTACGGCCTTTCCCCTTCTCCACATGGAGGGGACTGAACTGTCTGTAAAAAGACAAGGACGTTCAATAAACTGTTCAAAAAAAGGTGACAATACACATCAAAGTACAGTAGAACTACTGTGTTTAAGCCTCTGAAGACCCTGTTGGGTTTTGGGACCTCTTGCGCTATGGAGCGATGTTTCTGTGAGCGTGTCTCGTGCATGTGCACATGGAAGATGTGATGCACATTCCTGCTTGGACTGAAACTAAAAATCACTGAGTCAAAGTCTGACTCAGCTGCTGCACACACTGACTGTTGACAACTGATGATTCTGCTTTTAACCTTTTTCATTTTTTAATGTAACTCCCTGAAGTTTATGGACGTGCAAATCACCAAATAACCCCATTAAACACTATTTGTAACTTGAAACACATGGTAATGGCCAATCATTAGCCCATATTTGTGCCATCACTTGCATATGAATTTAGTTTCTATAAATATAAAACACAACATGGGGGCGTTGACTCGCTGATACATTTATATGAAATTATGTAATGTCAGCACAACGCTGGGAACAGTGGGGCAGATAGTGTTGAATATCACAGATTTGGAGCAAAAATAAAACTTGACACTTCTACCCTCGTCTACCATCTTATTACATAATTTCCCGCCACCAGTGATGTGTTTTTCTTTAAAACCTCAGGCTCTTTGTGTCCCTCCTGCCAAATGTTTGGCAAGTGTCCCTCACTTTTCTCGCTCGTTCAGGCGAACGACGAAGGAAAACGGTTGAGATCGGTCTGCTCAGCATCATCACTGCGGTTCAGAGCACAAATAAAAAAAGTATGACTTTCCTTTTAATTCCAAAATATTACACAATTATGAATCGGCCTGTTATTTTCTTTTGATGTGTCACGGCGTAGAAGCGAAATATTTGGATGTGATAGCTCTTCCTCTTCCCAGGCATTTCGCTCCCTGGATGTTCCTGGCCAATTTTTTTTTACAACCGGTCACTACTTTGCAATTTCCCTTTTACTCATTGCATGGGTTTTTTTTCCTTTGGTTGTTGTTGAATGTTGACATGTGCTTTTAGTTTCCTGTATTTCTTTGATTTGTGAGACACATATGGGAGTAATAAGACATTTGTACAAGCATAATTGAAAGATAATAGGCTGCTTTCATTGCTGGTTTGCTGAGAGGTTTTAATTGCCCGACAAATTCTAAAGTCTGATTAGATCCGAGACGGTTTCCTCTCAGTTTCCCCCATTTGTCAAAAAATAATGGCAACAACTTAGCATAATGTTACGATCAGCCCTTATATTTATGTGGCTCGGTCACGTGTAGCTGTACGTGTAGTGCTGCTTTTAGCACGAAAAGCATGCAAATGAGATGATTGTAACTTTCATGGCGAGCGGTGGATGTTCAGTCTTACCTTTCCATTATATTTGAAAGTCGTCAGATGATATCTACCAGAGAGAAACTATTTAAAGTTAATTGTGTTAGGATAAGAATCTTTGCAACGATATGTTAAATATAATGGAGTTACATTAGGAAGCAGTTTACATTTCCAGCTCTGCTGCCAACGTAGAGACAGCACAAAGTTTACTGGTCTTTTTTATCCTTTTCACCTCAGCTCCTGAACAAATAATATCTCCACACTTGTCATATGTTTCTAACTTCAGTAACGAGATGTTTGATAGTACGTAGTGTCCACTGACCTCCCTGCAACTTCTAACCTTAAGTCATTGATGTGCGTCAGTCTCTTTTGGAAAAATCTGGATAATTTTGCCTTCCTGGATTCTCTCATTGCCCTAACTGCTCTCTGAGTCACATCTCACTCTCCAGCAATGCATCCCAGCGGCATCACTTTCCTTTGGTCCTGGACTCTGTCATTCAGTGCTCGTACAGGAAAGTCCAGCTGGATGCTGTTTTATACGTTAAGCAGCACACTGTTTTTTCCCCTTTGAAACAGCTTCTTTTAAACACAATTTACCCTCTAACCATGTCTCACCAGGCTCTGTGTGAAGAATGCATGGCTCCTTTTAACGTTAGAGGTATTCACTCAGCTTTAACCAAAGCCCCCTTCTTTATATGACTTCCTCGGGAAGCCCACACATTTCATTGAACAGATTTTTTCCTTTGCACTTTAAGACAAGTTGGACACCCCGCTGCGCTAATTGCTGCAGTCATCTATCTTTGATAAGTACGAGCTGACTAAACAAAGTGTTTTCAGTAAGGATATGCTCACAGACCTGCTTTTGTGTCCCTAAATATGCTGGAAAAACGTTTTGTAATCAAACAGTGACCACGGGGGCCAAGCTGTCAGCAGAGTACTCATGGGTTCAATTACAGGAAAGGCAGGAGGTGAAAGCAGGAGCCAGTGGATTCCAGGGCTTCTATCTCAAAACTTAGAATTACATAATCTTCATTAACAGTAACCTCTTCCACCTGTCTGTCGTGTCTGCACAAAAGATCTTCAGTTTGAACTGTACAAAATGTTTGGTGAATTTGGTTTGGCTTATTTGAAGGCATTATTATTCCTTGTGGTGCTACACTTGCACTTGTATCCTGGGTTACGATTAAAAAAAAAAAGAAAAAAAAGAACATACAAAAGCAAACCTTTCCCTTTTTTTTTTCTATTCATCTTGGATTATCACAGTAGCACGATGGTTTTGATTAGTGTTTGAAGTTTGAAATAATGTAAGGCAGATTATTGTATAGTGTTGATGTTCACTGCAGGACTATAATTTACTTATTATTCCTCACAGTAGCAATAGATTCACTGTGATTCATTTACTGACTGTTATTGTGTTTGAGCAGAAGAAGAAGACGACGACTTAAGTACCCTTTTGTTTTTTAATGTAAGAGACTTGTTTACTTTCAGTCTTTCTTAATTAGCACCAGTTTTAAAACAGACAGGAATAGAAATGACATGTCTGACCTGTGCCTCTCAGCTATTGCATAAAATCACTAGCTTGATTTAAGGCACCGTAGGCAAACAGCTGAGTTACCTCGGATTTGAATTTCAAAATAATACACAGGACAATTATCTTCAACTCAGTTAAATCTGGTCACGTATAGAGGCAAAATAAACTGTTCCATATTTT